CCTTTTATTTAATTATCATCTTTTACTGTGGAAACAAAAAGAAATTCAAAGCATTGATTCAATGCTTTCAACTGTAATTTTTCACTTGGCTTTTTTTTTTAATAAGTATTTTATTTTGATGTTATAAAGCTTGTAGACATCAGCTATGAATTAGCTTTAGTAAATTATGTGAAAATTATTTCAGTCTATATTGCTTTGTTTTCTTATGTTTTTTATACTTTTCTGGTTATAAAAATAATTTATTGTTAGAAAAGAAAATTGCATAATGTTGACTCAGGGAAATTTAAAATACCCGATTTAGTATTTTTCAGTCAATATTTATTCATTTACCCTTTGACCTATAAAGTTCACTTCTGGGTAATTAAATGCAGCATTTATTGCAGTAGGTAAATGTTGTAATATATGTGTTTGGCCATATTTGGCCAGGTGACTTAATATATACCCAATAGTGTATCCACAGGTTCTGTAAAACTGTGCAAGTTCAACAAGAGAGAGTAAGTTCCTAGCATATTGACATAAATAAGACTTACATGAATTATTATTTGGGAAAAGAAGTATGGTACAAAAAAGGATGTATTTTGTACAAGAAAGAGGAAATGTAAAAAATGTGGATTAGTATTTATATAAAGAAATGCAAGTAATTAGTAAAGGTAACTGACAAGTAAAGGAGTAAGGTCAGGAATTCTCAGTGTCTATCTTTTTGATTAATTTTAGTTTTGAAACTTCAAGTATAAGCTATTACAAAAGTCAAGTTTAAAAAACATAAAAATCAGGTTAATTTGGAAGGATTTAGAAAATGCATAATACCATAATTATGAAAAAGCAATAAAGCATCAGTTAATATTTTCTCATTGTTTTGTACTTGCTGTCCACTGAAACCAACACTTATTTGATTAAAAATTGCTGATTTCTCTAAAATTAGGGTTCACTAAGAATGAAATTTAAGATGTTAATGGAGACTTTTTCCTTGAATGTTTATTTTAAACATAATGAACCAATTTGATCCTCACTATTCTGTAATTTGATGTATAAATAATGATCTTACTGTTTTCCTTAAATAGCTTTGATTTTATACTCAACGCTCAAGAGTTGATGGTAATTTTGTCACTGCTTTACTGTATTCACAAATTAGAAATCCGTATGTGTAAAATGATCACAAATTTAAATCTTAATCAAGTACATAAAGAAATGTTGAATAGAAAGTGTAGCGATGCAGAAATACTCAATATGCTGACACTCAAGATTGGAGACAACTATAATTTACTACAACTACAACTCAACTACATTTACTTAAAAAGAACTGACTATATATATTTAGTTTATTGCAACCAGTGAGCTAGACTTTCTTTCCAAATCGAACTGTACATTAATTAGCTTTCTTTATGCTTATCATTTGATATTTTTTTATTTGCTAAATTTTGTATGCCATTTGAGTTCCAAAAAAAAATTATATTTCTATTAAATGACATTCTAAATTAACTGGACATAAATGGACAATGAAGGAGTATTGCAAGTAACCAGAAACAATATTAATAAAAATTGAGAGGTGATAGATCCTATGATAGCATTTGAGGCAGTAGTGAAAAGCAAAACAAACAAAAAATTAAAACAAAAAAGAAACTATGCAGATATGGTTTCACTGATGCCTGATAGGACCACTGGAAAGTAACAATTGCATGATCAAAATCATGATAAGACTGCACTCTCCATACCTGAAATATCCTATTGCATAGAGAGAGTCTACACAATTTTAAAATAGTAATCATTCTTTACTTTATGATATTATAAGCAAATAAGTACATGAAAAGTTGCAAAATGAGGATACTTGCTTTCTTATCAAAGGTGGGTTCTTAAAATTAACTGACAAAATTGAAATTTTCTACCATCCCCGAGTAATATAAATTAGCTTTATAAATGTGGTTTCTCAGTTATTTCACTTTTTCTATCTTCAATATTTATATGCAATGGATTGAAATTTTTGTTAGTGAAATCATTGGAAAACCTGAGGAAAGAAATTAATTTGCCTTCCATATAAACCAAGAATAGCAATATAGAATGTTAGAACTACAACGTACTTTAGTCTTAACTTTGTCCGTTTATTTTCTTGGTTAGGGGCTGAGATAGCTTATGTGACTTTCTAATGGTCACACAGCCTTCAATATAAAAGCAAAGAAAGATAAACAAAAAAGGATTGTGAATTTTAAATTCAACAGTGCTCTGTTAGATGGAGGATCTACAAGTGAATTTATTTAGTAATATGCATTTAAACCTGAACAAAAAATTATTTACAAAAGGCTAGCCTTCCTGAGTATTACAGTGTGAGATTAGTTAGTCTTACTTAGCCTTAGCAAACTTAGAGGAATGAGTGGGTACTAAATAATCTGAACCACATAAGCTGCGACATGAATACGTATTAGGGTTATGTTCATTAACGAAAGGGAAAACAAACTGTCAAATTAATGGTAGTTTTGGTATTTAAACAACCAGTTAGGGGAAATAAAACTTGAAGGTGGACCAAAACCTTCATACTAGTGAGAGTTATAGAACTATTTCCCTACACATCTCCATGTATCTTGCAGCGAAAGAATGAAAATAGAAACTTACCAAAAAGTGTTGACTACTTAACAAATACAGAATAAAAAATCATGGTAAAGATATTAAAGCTGGATGTTTCAGATAGAGTCAAATGTGAAAAAAAAAGCTTTTTAAAAGTAAAAATAGAGTAGATGTGGGATTTATGAGAAAACAAGAAATTCAGATGAAATATAATGAAAATCCCTTTTAAAATTGTTTAATTCAATTCAATAGAGAATTCAGAACCAATGAGGTAATGCACATAAAAATCCTTTCTGTAGTACTAAAACAGTAGATAAAAAATTCTGCAAATGTACTGGCTGACCAGTGAAAATCTCCTCAGATTTTGATACTATTATTCTTCAGAATAGTTCTGGAATTGCTCTTGAAACTACGAAGTGAATATGCAATACTATACGCATATTAATATTGTTCTGCTAAACTACCCTGTAAGGTAAGAACAGATATTTCATTATCAGAGTCAATGTATCATAACCATAAACATTAAGATTTGTCAATTCTTAGAGATCATCTAGCATAGATGGTTCACTTTATAGACAAGAAAATTATGGCAAAGATTAAGTAGCTTATTTTAATTAGTAGCAATACCAGGACAAGAACCGGCGCACTTGGTTCTCAGTTTGGAAGTGTTCCTATTCACACAAATACTTAACTCTGAACAGAATTTCTATTGAAGAGTTCATTTCCATCATAATTCTCTAATGGGTTAAAAATCTTTATAGTTGTAATAAAAGCAGTAATATTATTCTTGCAACTACATTCATAAATAACAAAAGGCAAAGCAATGCACTTTGATTAAAATGTTCTTCCTCATAATTACAAGGGAAGGAAAACACCATATAGAAATTCAAATGACAGCATACTTAAAATTCAAAGTTAATACCTGAATAAAGTCCATCCTTTGTAAGACTATAAATTATTATTATAAATTTAGAGACAGCATGTCAGATCATATCCCTCCTATGTAAATTCATAAAGGCAGAAACTTAATTTATTATTTTTATTTACTAAGATACATATCGTTTCTTATCCTCACCATCAATGGAGATAATGCTGCATTGACATTGACTTGAGTGCTATTGTAGAGATATTTAATTATAATCACACTACTAAATGCCTGTCTGGTCAGGTTGTTTAGGATACATTTTAGAAATTATTATTATAATAAATATTTGAAATATTACTTTGTCATATTCAATTTAAAATTATGAAAGTGTGCAGCAAGTCACAATTTATGCTTTGAATTTTAGCTTCTGGTATGGATGTTAGCGATTTGTTTATTGCAAACAATGCATTTCAGTAATAGTTTAAACATGTTCAAAATTTGCAGCATATACAGTTTCTGCAATGTAATTAGTTAGAAATTGAGGAAGCTTAATTTAAAAATTGAATTGTTCATGAAAATCTATTTTCACACTCTCTATGGCTTAAGCAGTTACTCTTCATAAAATGTTCTATAGATGTTGGAAGAAATTAAGCAAAGTTAATCAGAAAGAACATTATGGTTTGACACCTAATTTGGAAGCCTTGTCTTGAAGCAGTGAATGATTGCTATGGCATTATATATGCCAATGAGAACTCAAATAGGAAATCCATTTATGCTTGAAACAGATCTCAGTAGTGACGTAAGTCAGAGTGGTGTATGTCTGTCTTTTTGGTGAGATGTATCAGTTTGTTTCTGTAGCTTATAACAGAAGTAACTGAAACTGGGTAATTTGTAAAGAAACTATATTTATCGCTTGCAGTTCCAGAGTCTATGAAGTCCAGTGTCCAGGGAACACATCTGGTGAGGGCCTTCTATGGTGGAGACGTCAGCAAGGCAGGGTATCACACTGCAGGAAAGGCAGAAGCAAGAGAGAAAGAGAGTTCCTCATGCACTCTCCTATTAGAGGCCTCAGAACCCCACATATGACCACCATTAAACCGTCAACTTATTAATCCATTTACTAGATCACGATCCTCAAAGTCTAATCAACTCTTTAAGGCCCCACTTTTCAATTACCATAATAGGATTTCCCACCTTCTTAACACTGTCACAGTGGGGGTTGAGTTTCTAATACATGGACTCTGAGGGACACAATTCAATCCACAGCAGAGATATATTTTATAAAATTATATATGTTTGCTAAAAAAAACGTATAGCTCATTGTTCAGTCTAGTTTAATTAAGAAATTGTAAAATAGCATTGCAATGAATTTATCTAATTATTGTTCATTAGCAGGAAGATCAGTGATCTTAAAGTTATTTTGCTATGAAACAAAGTCCCATTAATGTAAGTACAGAAGTCAACTATCAAATTTAAAATCTAAGCATTAAAAAAAAAGAAAAGAGGTAAAATATGTCTCAAAATGGTGTTGGTGAAAATATTTTCAACTCTATTTACTCTATGTCCATCTCTCCTTCAGTGCCACCAGCAATCACAATGCCACAGAAAGCCTTTAATGCCACAGCAGAGAGAGGAGAAGAGATGACTTTGTCATGCAGGGCCTCGGGCTCTCCTGAACCCTCCATTTCCTGGTCCAGGTAGGTAATGCACCACATCTCCTTGGCTTGTGTCCATAATTAGGTACATGGAATAATATTTGAGATCTTAATCATTTTGGCGAGAAATAAACCACTGCTTTTTTAGTTTCGTTAAAAATGTGCTATTGTTTTCAGTTAAGTTGGTTAGATTAAATTGCTAAAGAGATCGACAGTATGATCTTGCCCTAATTTTCTGAGCCAGGAGCTGCATGCACAGTTCTTATTTTGTCAATAAGGGCATGTTTCTGGTTGAAATGGGCCCAGGAACCTTGGGAGTGATTCAGTCTTTCTATTGTACCCACAATACAAGTGTGTCTTGAAATAGTCACCCTAGTGTTACCGGCACCATTATATTGTGTGTACAAAATCATATTTTATTGGAATGTAATTGTATATTCAATTTTTATACTATTTTACAGAAGTAACTAATTTTGTTGTTAAAAATTCATAAATTAATGTCATTTTTAAAAAGATTGCCTTATCAAATGAGTAAACTCTGTATTCTGAATTTATTTTTAGATTACTTGTATCATTTTTTGTTAGAATTTTTAAATGTATTTTGATTTCCATTAAGATCAAGCATATGTGAAAATATTCCATTCTTTTAGTTTATGGCTTAAACTACTAAATTGGAGACAATAAAATTTAAAAGTGCACAGCCTGCATTAGAAATGCAGTTTAGCACACAAGAATTAACTAACTACAAATATTTATAAAATAACTTCTATACTTTATAAATCATATAGTGCGAGAATAATCTCAAGAAAACAATTAATAAAATATGCATTCAAATGTGCCAAAGTGTCAATAGTAAGAATCAGGATTTTTTTAAAAATTATTTTAAGGACAACATTTGAAATCCAGAACTAATTTTTCATTATTTTCAGTATGAGCATTTACTGATATTACCTCCAGCTTTCAAACCTTTGTTTATACTGTTTATTCATTTGATATAGCAAGTAGCAATAAATAAGATATTTCTTCAAACAAGGCGTTTTTAGATGTTTTTTGCAGACATTAATTTTGAACAAATTGACATACCGTTGGTATTTTGTAATGGGATGACACATCAAACATTAACATTTTCACCCCAGGTACTCATCACATATCTCATAGACTGCTGGTTTACCAGTGTGGATCCTGAACAGTCAACATCAGATCTAATTGCATCACGGAAAAGTCCTTGGATCATTTATTACAGTGAACAAATATTGTTCTAGAATCTTATTCTAATGATTTTATATTTCCAGAGAGACTTCTTTTCTGCTTAGGTTTTTTCCTTAAAGTTTTACATTTGTTCAAAATTGTTTTCTTATATTTAATTGAAAATACACTTATCATACAGACTAGAACAAATCATATTTGGCAGAAAATATAAGTAACTTAAATCCATAATTTTTCATCTCCATATCTTCATATGTCATTACTTCCATCCCTTGGGTAGGATGAACAATTAATTTATTTAAAACATAAATAATTGTTCTAGCCTCAAGATATAAACTATATATCGAGAGAATAGGAGTGTGTGGTTGAGACATTAACAGAGATAAAATTAGTATTAGAGGGAAATTTACATTTTGGTGTATTTATCCATAGATATAGACATGCCATGTTTGTAAAACAAGTAATCCCTGTAAGCATTAAGGAATGGAGGCAGCAGCCCTAAGAGAAAGATGTAGATAACCTGTTGTGTAGAGTTAATATCTCCAAGTGACATGAGTGAAGTCAGCTTAGGCTGCCATAACAAAGTACCACTGATTGGGTGGCTTAAACAACAGGAATTTATTTTCTCACTGTTGTGGAGGCTAAAAGCCCACAAGATGCCAGCAGGGAAGGTTCTGGTAAGGCCTCTCTTCCTGGTTTGCAGATGGCCACCTTTTCTTTTTGTCCTCATATGGCCTTTCCTCTGTGAGCAAACCTGGAGAACAAAAGAGATCTCTGGTGTTAGTTGTTTTAAGAACACCAATCCTATTGGATTGAGGCCTCACCTTTATGACTCCATTTAACTTTTAATTACCTCCTTAAAAGCCCTATCACCAAATACAGAAATTTTGCAGGTTAGAGCTTCAACATATAAATTTGTATGTGTTTGTGTGTGTGTGGTGGGGGGGAGGACAAAATTTAGTCCGTAACACCAGCAGAAGAGATAGTTATTGGGGGATTATAAGAAATTTTCAGAAAGGGAATTGGGAATACTTAGTCACTTCTAAATCAAAGTGGGAGTAAATAAGTGACTCTAAACATCCCTCCCTTCAGTTTCTGTTTAAATGCTTCTTCTATATCTATTGAGATTACCATATGGAATTCTATTGCTAGCCCATTTATATGGTCAATTTCAATGATTTTCAAATGTTAAAACAACCGTGCACTCTTTGTTTAAGAACTGCTTGGTTATGATATAGTATTTTTGGATGCATTGCTGGAATCAATATGTTAATGATTTGTTAAGAACTGTTGCATTCATGCTTTGGAGAGATATTGTTTTATCATTTTCTTATTCTTGACTTGTTAGGGGTCAAGGAAATACTGGCCTCATAGAACCAGTAGGAATGTATTTCTTGCTCTTCTGTTTCCTGATAGAGTTTGTATGTAATTTTTATTTCTTTCTTAAATGTTTGAAAAGTTCCCAGTGCAACCATTTGTACCAGGATTGATCTTGTAAAAAGGTTTAACTACAAATTTATTTTTTTCATAGATATAATACTATTTAGGCAATCTCTGTTTTTGATGAGCTTTGATGATTTATGTCATTCTAGGAATTTTTCCATTTCTTCGAAATTGTATTTACTGGCATAAAGCCATTCATAGAATTTTCTTATCATACCTTTAATTTGCATAATACCTATGGTGATCTTCCCTCTCTCCTCCTGATAACCTAATAACTGGTCTTTGTTCTACTTTCTTTTTTATCCTGATCAGTCTAGATGTAAATTTGTAAGTATTATGATCTCAATAAATTAGTAAATTGTATTTACTGGCATAAAGCCATTCATAGAATTTTCTTATCATACCTTTAATTTGCATAATACCTATAGTGATCTTCCCTCTCTCCTCCTGATAACCTAATAACTGGTCTTTGTTCTACATTCTTTTTTATCCTGATCAGTCTAGATGTAAATTTGTAAGTATTATGATCTCAATAAATTAGCTTTGGGTTTCAATTATTTTCTTTAGTTTTTAATTTTCTGTTTTAGTGATTTCTGCTTTTATTTTTATTATTGTCTTCCTTATGGGTAATATTTTTGTGCGTGATTAATTTTCTAGCAATTTTTGATTGGGTGCTGAAAATTGAGGTTTTATGTTTTGGGTTGCTGGATATTTTTTATTCTTTTACTTTGTCTTACAGTAGTTAAGTTACTTAGAAAAAGTTTGATCTTTTTGAGGCTTGGTTTTAGGCTCTTTTAGGTGGACGCAGAACAACCTTAAGTCTAACGTTAATTTGGCTCCATTACTGAAGCAATATTTTTCTGAGGATGTGACTTAAAGCCGTGTGTTTTGGGATGCCTTTCTGTTCTGGATGGTTTGGATGCAAATCATTCCTGGCCTTGTGTGAGCTTCTGAGGTTGTTGTGCTTTATCTTTTCCAATGGTTCTTCCCCTAGCATAGGAAAGCTGTATTGGTATAACTCCTCAGTCAGTATTCAATTCAAGATTTGTCGGGAACCCTCTGCAGGTGTCTTGCTTGTGTAGCTCTATTGGTTGTGTAGCTCTTTCTTCTCACATGGTCTGACCTCCAAATTCTGGTCACTTTGACCTTCCCCAACTGTCTTCTAACACAGATACACTGCCTGACGCTGTTTGAGGTGTCCCTTCCAGAGCTGCAGTAAGCTATGGCAGTACTCAGAGGTCACTGTCATCCACTACCTGTTGATCAGTGTTTGAAAACTGTTGTTTCACATATGTTTTTGTTGTTTGAAGTGTGAGAATAAATATGGTCCCTGTTATTTCATTATGCTCAAAAATGAAATTATCATCCATTCTTTATTAATTCCATTAATTTTCTTTTCTTTTTTTTGTCTTTTTCGTGACCAGTAAGGGGATCGCAACCCTTGGTGTGGTGTCACCCGCACCACGCTCAGCCAGTGAGCGCACCGGCCAGTCCTATATGGGATCAGAACATGCGGCGGGAGCGTCCCTGCGCTCCCAGCGCTGCACTCTCCCAAGTGCGCCGCGGGATCGGCCCAATTCCATTAATTTTCTAATCCTGACCCTTATTTTCTTGTGACTAGAAAGGGAGTACTTAGAGAAGTGGTTTGAATTTCAAGGGATGCACTTATGGGGGTCTATCAGAATCCCTGAGGAGTGTTTTCCAGATATTGGCATCCCATAGAACTGGACTGTGAATAACAATGGGAAGATATGCTATATAACAGGTTCATTGGGAGAGGGGTATTAAGAATATTACCTTGGTTATTATGCTATCATGATTTTATTTAATTTTGTTCTTGAGGGGAGCATAATCTTTACACACCAATTTCCTCTCAATCTCTTAAGATCTACTGATCCATGTCAAAAGCCAAATCATGGATTTTTTTCCTCATAAAAATTCCCAGAGCATTCCAGCCATCTTTCTCTTTCCTCCTACTGTAGCAGACCCACCCCCCAAAAATGTTATAAGTAAGCTTATTAAAAAGATCTATATTACCCTCTATTAATACTGACTAGATTATGAATTCTTCATGATTGATGATTATTCATTTGATATACATCAAACATTTAAAACAATTTTCACATGAAGTAGGGAGATGACCCTTTTTACTAGAAAGAACACCGGAACTTACTTAGCCACCTGCCTTTATGACTGTGTGGGCATAAGTCTCTTCATTTGTGAATTGAGGGGTGATGATATCACATGTAAGTTGTAGTTCTCTGATTTGTGAATGAGGACATAGAAGGAAAATGTACATCTATAGGCTAATAGTGAGTATTCAATCAAGGAAATAATAAAGGGAAAGTGTTTTAGAAACCGTAAGTTGCTGACTCTTCTGATGTGCTATTATCATTATTAGAAAGCAAATAAATAATTTTCACTGAAAAGATTGAGAAATACATCACTAATTGCAGTGAAAGCCCTACATGTACATGAAATTCTAGACAAAAAAGCTGAGATGTTGTCATTTTTATAGTTGTAATGATTAGGTGAGTAAAAATAAGAAATAATACATATAAAAATACATGATATTATGCACACGTTTGTGAAATTTTTGCACATTTCATGATATTATTTACACATGCCATGATAAACTGGAGAAACATGCTATTGAATCATAAAACAATAAGGATTATGTTAGGATATGTGTCAGTGCTTTCTGGAAAGTGATATCAGAATTTACTGGAAAGATTTTTTAGGGCATCTGAGAAATATTCTGTTTCATTCTAGAAGAGATTTTTTTAATAATCATTTTTGGAAATTTCTTTTTAAGATTTCACAAATATTAAGGGAATTTTAGAAATATTTCAGATTTTAATATACTTAAAGTATCTCTTGCTGTGTAGTAAAAAAACTTGAAAGTCATTATTTTAAAGCACTATGAAGACAAGAATTGAAACAGGATTATATCCATTTAGTCCAGAAAAGAACTTGGAAAATATTGATAATTTTTTGTGTATAAAAGGAAACATAAAAAATGATTTCTTCTCTTCATTAATGAATAAAAATCATCATATTCAGAGTAATTTCTCTAATTAGTTGTGTTTTCACATAGTTATCGTATTTATTGGCAGTGCTTAAGTGCAATATACATTTATTTTGCATTTATATTGTACTTACTTTGAAACTCCTTTAAAGGGAGCTTTCATAGAAATAATTTTAAATGTGTCTTAAGAAGCTAGTAAATAAATATGTTTCATAAATATGTGTTGAATCACCAATGTTCAAAGAGTATATGGAATTAAAATCAGCTAGAAAACATTTTTTTCTAATAATCAAAGTACGAATTGAACCAATGTGCTTTTTTTGCATGATTAATGTCAAGATTTCAACATACTTCAAATGTAATTTTCTCTCTAAAGTCAAAACAATTTTCAGGTATAATTTCAATATTTGTGCATTAAGTTCCTGAGCCATTAAAGATATTTTTTTGATTGGAATATAGCCTTGTCTGACAGTAGCCATGAATAAATTGATGCCTATAGAACAAAAAGTTGATTATGATCTCCTGAGTTATGAAGTCAGATTTATGGTCGATCTCTTTTTCCTTTAGGAATGGTAAGCTCATTGAAGAAAATGAAAAGTACATATTGAAAGGAAGCAATACAGAACTCACTGTCAGAAACATAATCAATAGTGATGGGGGCCCTTATGTCTGCAGGGCCACAAATAAGGCAGGAGAAGATGAGAAGCAGGCATTCCTCCAAGTCTTTGGTAAGTATTATAGCACAGCACTTAAAACTGTGATGTCTAGAGGAAGGTCTGAGTCAAATTCTTATTCTGCCATGATATAAACTTTTCCACTTTCCACAATTAAACCTCAGTTTTAGTGTCTTTGAAATAATATATTTTTAAGTTTCAGCTACCAGATAGAATTATTTTAAGAATTCATGAAATTACACATGTAAATTTTTGTAAGGTATTCGTTGACTCATAACAGAAACTGGAAGAAAATCTATTCAAATTACTCTTAGTGGGATTTGTAATATTTTATATCTACGTAAGGGTTGATCTTCATAAATCATGAGATGACACCTGTTGGGATTAGTTTTACTTTCAAAATACTTCTAAAGAGCCATTAATAGGACTATTATTTAGAAATATTGATGTGTAACTAAAATTAAATATTCCTTTTTTATTTTATTGAAAGAAATATAATAGAAATATCTTCCATATTTACCAAGGGCCACATTGTTTTCTTTGGGGAACTTATAGAGCATAGGGAATTAGAGAACTAGATAGACCTCATGCCGGTGGGTACTTGTAATATGATTTTTTAAGAAATGTAATGCTAAAAAATTATTTGCACTACTTACACTAGTTCGTTCATTCCTTCCATCTTTAAAAAAATTGTTATCAAAATGCTTTTACAAAAAAGAGAGGAAAAGGGCAGGAGGGAGAAACCTGTGAAAATAAGCATGGACAGTGATTGCAGTTGTCAGGTGCAGAGGTACTCCTTACACTGACCACACAATAAATGTTCATTCCTTCCATCTTTAAAAAAATTGTTATCAAAATGCTTTTACAAAAAAGAGAGGAAAAGGGCAGGAGGGAGAAACCTGTGAAAATAACCATGGACAGTGATTGCAGTTGTCAGGTGCAGAGGTACTCCTTACACTGACCACACAATAAATGATGGCAATACCTGCATACACATACTCTCTATGGGTTGGTACTGTGGTCGCTGAATGGAAATCATTATGTCGAAAGGATACCTGCACTCCCATGTTCAACACGGTCTGTTTACAATAGCCAAGATATGGAACCAACCTAAATGTCCATTAGTGGATGACTGATAAGGAAAATGTGGTCAATATACACAATGCAATACTACTCAGCCATAGAAAAAAAATGAAATTCTGCCATTCACAGCAACATGGATGAGCTTGGAGAAAATTATATTAAGTGAAGTAAGCCAGACAGAGAAAGAGAAATTCCACATGTTCTCACTCATAAGTGGGAGCTAAAAACAAACAAAGAAAGAAAGACCATAATAAAATGTTGAACTTTCAGAAAGACAGAGCAGTCCTAAAGTTACTAGAGGTGGAAGAGGGGGCGGGGGGAGGAAGGACAGGGAGTAATTGGGTAAGGGACACAAAAAGTAACTATGATTTGTAATGATGAACATGCTGATAATATTGATTTGATCATCACCTATTGTACACAAATACTGGCAGTCAACTCTATACCCAATAAATATGTATTAATAAAGAACTAAAGAAATTTTCATAAAGCTTATATTCTAGTGGATTGAGACAGATGACAAACAGCCATACCAAAATGTATTTAAACTAAAAAAATTTGAATAAGATGGCCTAAGAAGAAAATAAAACTGGATAAATCAGGTAGCGTTGGATAAAGAAGACTATTATTTTACTCAGAAGGATAACGTTTAGGTGATGTTTACACAAAAATCTTTAATAATGAGAAGTAGACAAAGCTAAGAATCAAGAGAAGATTGTTCACGTAGAGGGAAGAAATTTTAAGTAAACACACTTGAAAATATTAGAAAATATAAAAAGCCCCTAACTTGTTCCAACAGCCTTCCCCACTTTAAAATAGTGTTCTATTTAAAACCCACAATGCTAAATAAATACGACTCAGTATAAAAATAAATAATTTAATTATAAATGATAATGTATGAAATTATTTCAAAAGACAGATATTCTCAATCCTCCTCAATGGGCTCATCTGAACTACTGTTTCGTTTCTTCCTTTTTATCAGAGTAGCAGAAAATAAGAACAAAGAGATAAATAAAAGAAAATTTCTGATATCTGAAAAGAAAATTTCACCCTTTCCAACAGAAAATGAAGTATGAAACATTACCTTACATCACTGTTGTAATCACTTTTGTATAGTAACACTGAACAAATTTGTGTTGCTTTCAACACGAAATGATGCACGAGTACATATACTGAAAATACTGAATCCATTAAAGGCAATGGAATAAAGAGTGAATTGTTAAAAATTCTGTATGCCATACTCCTGATATCAGGAATGTTATTTTCCAAGATAAAGAGCAACTTACTAATATTTCATGTTTAATTGTATAGTTGTATTGAAAGACTAAAAACATCTATTACTTGTATTAAAATAACAAATGCTAATTTTATCCATTTTATGTCTAAACAAGCAAAAATTTAAGAAAAGCAGATAATACAGAGTTCAAAAAATAAAACTGTGGTATTATCTAAATTTATGAAGGGTCATATTTTCTAATATTAAGATAATTCAAATTAGACAATGATTTTTCTTTCTATAGAAGATATAAAAAAAGAATTAGTTACAATATCTAATTTATTGTTAAGTTGAACTGAGGTAAAAATAAATCAATTGCAATAATATGTGTAAATAACATACATATAACTACATTATAAATATTTTCAAAATTTTATATAATTATATTTATTACGTATATAGGATACATCATCTCTCTCTTTGGTGAAATGATTATTAATGTTTAAGAGAAAATCATTAAATAAATAGACTACATGTATATATATATATATGTATATGTATACGGGAATGCATATACATATATGCATGTAGCTTTAAAAAAAGAAATTTTAATTTTGTGGCTTTAAGAGAGGGAAAAATAATAAGGTGGCTTTGAAACTTGCAAAATTTTAAAAGGAATTATAATTTGTATTTGGTTTCTAAACCACCTCAAATTATTTTTATAAGGATAAGTGATGAGTGTTATTTTTACAAAGTTTTTTTTCCTGTACTTTGTAATTAAGTATATTAAGTATACTATTAAGTATAGCATATGCCACTGTAAACGCTACAAAGTTAATGATCTCATACTATATTAAAGTGGGCTTAAGTGTTCACCATGGCTTTTAAGTCTGAATAGTAATATTTTCCTCCAATACCGATTGAGTAATGTATATATTCTTTACAGTACAGCCTCACATAATACAGCTTAAAAATGAAACTACGTATGAGAATGGTCAAGTCACACTCATATGTGATGCAGAAGGGGAGCCTATTCCAGAAATCACTTGGAAAAGAGCTGTGGATGGCATCACATTTTCTGAAGGCGATAAGGTAACAACGGCTCAAAATCTATTAGTTTCCAACACCATTGTAACGTCCAGTGTTTTGAGCACATATTGTTAAATTTCACATTAGTCTCCAATTTACCAAGTAACTTGAAGAAATCAAGTAAATAGGTTAATTTTTTAAAAGGTGACTCTACCATAAAGTCAGCCTAAGGTAACTTCAGAGAAGAAAAAGTCGATGTGTGATATTTAAAGACATTTTTTACTGTCACAAAATCTTAGGTCATTTGTAATACTCTTTGGGTTGCTTATGTGGGCTTTTCGTATATGTTAAATCTATAAAACGTGTTACTGCATTTTAAACCTCCACCCCTGCTATGTAAATGAAAGTAATTCAAATTTTAAAATGTCTGGCTATCATTCAAATTTTACTCTCCAGAACTGTCTTACTGCAGTAGAAGAATTTTTTTTTCATATACTTTAGAATTTAATGTAAAGAGAATTAAGTACAAACACAAACAGAACCTTTTTACTCTCCAGAACTGTCTTACTGCAGTAGAAGAATTTTTTTTTTCATATACTTTAGAATTTAATGTAAAGAGAATTAAGTACAAACACAAACAGAACTGTGGTGACCTTTCACCAGAATGCATTCAAGTTACTTAGAAATCAATTAAAGATTACCATGTTTTACTACTCTCCATGGACTTTCATTATTCTTATTTTTCATAACTATCCATATAAAGGCATAGATATAGACAAAAGTGAAAGAGGAGAGAAAAAGTACTGAAGTAATGGCATGATGGAATTGGTATTTTCACATTAGTAAAGACTTAAGTTAGGCTTTTACATTGCTTGTCTCGACTCAGTGTTAAAGAGCAACCTCCTTTAAACTATTTAAATTGATTTCAACAAAAAGCCTGATTTCTAAAGTATATATACACCTCAAAGTACCTTTGATTTACCACATTGATAGAAAAAATTGAAATTGGTTTGTTCGTAATATACGTTCTATCCCTCAAATTCATCATGTTATATTTAACAACATGCTAACCCCATAAATTGACAAAAAAGCATGTCTATTGTTCATTTACTATTTATCTTTTAAAAGAATGTTTTTCCATTTATATCAAGCTTTTTTGTCCCATATCCTCTTCATTATGGCAGTTTAAGAGAGTATATCTTTTTTGGAAATAGCTGTACTATTTTTATATACCTTTTTTATATGTTTGAGTTGAAAATCAAATTTATAAAATATAAATAACAATTACAGTCTTCTGGCAACTCAGTAAAATGTTACAGAGTTGCCTTTAATATTTTCTTAACTGAAAATCATAGATATTACATTGACACATTTGCAAAATCTAAAAAGAGTTAAATTTTCATACAATTTTTAAAAATAAAATCATATATATATGACTATAGGGGATTGTTGTTGTATTTCAATTTAGCACATTTCTTTAGATTAGATTACTCTAGAGTAAGTATTTTCATGCCCTTAGTCCTCATTAACTGTACCTTCATATTCCTAATTTTATGTTTTCTAATTATTTTTTTGTCTACTGTAAAATTCCCAAAAGTTCTCTTCTCAAAGATAGCTGTTACTCTTCATTTAATAGGTGTGTCCTTAAGTATATCCTGAGAATGAGAGGTACATTATACTCAGTTATTTTATCAATAAAGCCTTATTAAGTAACTCTCATATGTCAGTAGGCTTCCACCAGAGAGAACATTTCGAGACATTCAGGCCAGTCAGATGCTAAATAGTCTTTTCTGAACTAGTTTTGGAAGTCACATTATCACCACTGTCACATTATAGTAGTTCCAAACAAATTTTAAGGCCAGCCACATCCGATGTGAGAGGAATTATACTCCCTCTCTTAATGGAGAAGGATTCACAGTCATGTTGTTGATGAGTACATGGCGTGGGAGGTATTAAGGCCATCTTTTGAAAATGCATCTGCAACAATTTACCTCCAAAATATGCCCATGAGGGAATAAGAGTCAGTACCAGGATTTGAGCTGTGGTCCCTCATTCTTCACAGTGCATGTCCATACATGTGCTTTAGGATGCCTTTAAAGTGTATAGCTGGCTTCTCATATGAATATAAGTGATTTTTCCATTCAATCAAATACCATTCAGAAGTAAGAAAACATTTTATTTATTTTTTATTAAAAATCTTTCTTTATTAAATAAAATCATGCTTCTTTCAAAGGCTTGATCTGAGAATGTGTGAGATTGTGTGTCTAAAGTGATTTGACATAATCTGTGGCACATAATAAACACTCACTAAAAGTTTTTAGTTAATATTAACATCTATAATCTATTTTTGAGCCAAAGTTTCCTTAGATCGTCTCCTGTTATTCTTATTGAACAATAAATGTTAGTATATGTCACATCACAGATATTGATGAATTATAATTTTAAATCATGGAAAGCGTCACACAAATCAAAGTTTAACCTTGACTTTTTCACTTTTGGGTTGTCATTGACCATGCTATTTCTCATGTCTGATTTTAATTCAGCATGTGTAAATCAGGGTAATGATATAAGACCTACCTGGAAAACAGTTCTAAGGATAAAATGTGATCTCACATAACAATATCCCAGACAAATTGAACAACTTAACAGTGCTATTTTCTATTGTCCTTGTAGATATTCAGTCTTATTCAGTATTATACCTATTGTTATACTGCACTTAGATTTCTTATAAATGAAAAAATGGTCACATCAACTCCGTGTTGATGACTGCTGCCACAAAAGGGATCAGATGAAAACTTTCATGGTCATATGTACCCTATGAGTAATGCTTTCCTCAATAAAGAGATGGTCTTTTCTCCCCAGTCATCATAAGAGGGTACATCAAAAATTTTGTAGATTGTGTTCTCTTAACATATATACAAAGAAGTTTACCTTAAAATAATCTTTAGCAATATTAATTCAGTGATTCAGATATGAAGTTGTCTTACCACAGTAAATTGTAGATCTTGTGACTGTATATCACATTCCTCTTGGGAATTGATAATGTTGGGTGTCATCTTAACCACCTGTGTTTGAATTCAGTTTCTATCCATGAAGGAAAGTGTACGTGAGGGCTCTAGCTTCCTTGTTTAGATAAAGATATATTCTTAAGGCACTCTTGAGTGGTAGAGTCTGGTCTCTCTTCCTATGAGACACAAAATCAGAATCAGAAATATCATAGATTTCTGACATCATCTTCCTCCTTTTCTCTCACATCTGTCTTTTCCCACTCCTCCAAATATTTCCTGTCTAGGAAATTAGGCATTTTTTTTGCCTCCCTTTGGGCCTTTTTACACATTCCATATTATATAGCAGTAGATATTAATTTGGAATAGACTCTTCCATATTCTAAGAAGTACTTGTACAGGGCATCTTAAGGTAGGAAAAAAAGAGAACATGTCATGTTCTTCAAAACAAGGTTATTTTAGAATCTTTCGTTACTCATAAATGTTTCTAAATATGATTTCAGATCCATATGATAAAACTGATTTCCTTCAAGCATTTACATAGAAACATTATGTTACTTGTAAATTTTAGTATAAAATAGAAGTAAAAATTTATACTAAGGAAGTAGTTCCTGCCTCTAGAATTCTTATAAAATGGCAAACATAACAGTCAGCAATTCCATGTATGTGAACAGAATGTTTTATATAATAATTACAAAGCGCTTGTTATATTGTCTAGTGGATGACATCTTCTTTATGTCACTTATCCTCTCTTAAGATACAGATTCTATAATTACTTTATTCCTGTTATACCTGTCCTACCTAGTAAATTACAGACCTACCTCCACTAGAAATTAATCCCACTCTACACTGAATAAGAAGTATTTGAAATGTAAAGCAATAAGTTATAACTGTCTCAAAGCAAGATTTCTCAGCCTTCAGTCACTTGACCACCAGCTCCATCTCTTTACCATATTCATGTGCTGCCTGGATTCATATATACTTTAAATTGCATTGTTTATTTATTCTTATCCTAACCAAAATTATCAGTGAGGTCAAAAGTATGATGTATTCACCAGTTACATTTTTGAATACATATTAAAATAGACACAAAAATATACAATAAAAGTTACTTTTCAAAGTAATACCTGAACTCAGCATGTGCACCCAACTGGTACACAGACTATACTTTCAGAAACAAATGCTCTTTTGTCAGACATATTTTGAATTAATGTGATACAACATTTAGCTATGAAATTTTGAGTGCAACATATTTAAAAATGTTTTACTTAGTACACAACCCATTCTCCATCCTCTTACTTCTTGTGAATAAACACTTCCTTCCAGTAAATAATAATGCTTCACTTCACTAATGGGTACAGAATTCATTCACAAATCATTGTAACAGAAACTCATTTAATTTCAGTCCTTAATACCAAATGGTCCTTTCAATATGATGCTAATAACCTGAATAAATAAAGCAGTGTGATCATCTCTTCAAAAGCAGTTTCTTCCTTTTTATGCTAAAATGAAATATGAAATACTGGTCTTGGTCTGAGTTTAGATTACCTCAAAATTTTGTGACTAAAATAATGGGATTTTCTGTTTCTTACATTTTTTTGATAAGTGTGTCTTTCTATGTTAAGGAAGACAACCTTATTGATTCAATATTAGCTTTAGTACTGTGAATCCATTTTATTTTCTGTCCCTTCAAATGTATTCAAATTGAAATTTCAGGTCATTTTTTAAAAATTTTAATTCAAGGTAGGAGTATTAACTTTTAACACTTATTTTGCATTTCCATATAGAAGTCACAATTTACCAAAATGTTCCTATTTATTTTTATAGTGTAGAAATGGCAAGTATTTTTCTCCATGAATTTAGGCACTATGGTCTGTAGGATACAAACTTAAAATGCTATTGCAGACTAAAATACCAATTTGAAAGGAATTTCTATCAATATTTAATAAAGATAGGCAGTTCCTTAGATACAACTTCCTCAACAAAATATGATGCTTTAAAATGTATAGCTATTTAAACATCTCAGAATAGAAATATTTGTTATAACAATGTTGCATT